ATCAGCTAATCTCAAACTCCTAGTTTATCCCTCCCCCCATCTTCAGCTTTGGTAACCGTAAGTCTGTTTTCTATGTCTGTGGATCTCTTTGTTTTGTAAATAAGTTCATTTGTGTTATTTTTTTTAGATTCCACATATAAGTGATATCATATGATATTTGTCTTTCTCTGTATGATAATCTGTAGGTCCATCCATTATTCATTATGTCGTTCTTTTTTATGGCTGAGTAGTATTCCGTTGTATAAATATATCACATCTTCTTTATCCAGTCATCTGTTGATGGACATTTAGGTTGCTTCCATGTCTTGGCTGTTGTAAATGGTGCTGCTATGAACATTGGGGTGCATGTGTCTTTTTGAATTAGTGCCCTCTGGATATATACCAGGAGTGGGATTGCTGGATCATATGGTAAGTCTATTTTTAGTTTTTTAAGGAATCTCCACACAGTTTTCCATAGTGGCTGTGCCGTTAAAGGGGTTTTTGAACTTTTCTAGCTGCCCCCTTTCTTGCTGCCTGCCATGCTGGCATAGGTGATGCCATGTGGTGCTGTGGCTCTGGTGATTTTAAAACATGGCCCAGACCTTTCAGTGCTCCTCTCACTGAGAAGTGCTATCTGTGTGTTGCTCTCTTGAACCTGGCGACAATAGCGTCAGTACAGTCGTGGGCTGTATGACTTCCACGGCCCCAGCACTTGTCCTGGGGCCCTGAGCCTCCTGTACCAAGCCGACGGCCCTGGACTGGTCATGCTGGGAAGCCCAAGCAACAGAAAGAGGTCAAGTACACCCTGGTCCAGGCATCAGATGTGAGAATAAAGAATAAAGAAGTCTCTGAGATTCTAGACTCTGGCTGTTCAAGTGTTCCCAATGAAGGCCCCAGAAATTGTGGAGCAAAAAATAACCCACCTCCACCGGGCCCTGTCTGAATTCCTAATCCACAGACTCCATCGGTGTTATAAAATGGATGTTTGATACCACTTAACTGTTATATAGCAATAGACAATCAGAACAGACTCCATCTCTCAGCTCTGCCCCCTTAGGTAGGTTCTGTTTCCTCTGAAGCTTTGCTCTCTCTGCCAAGTGAACAAAGAGGCCCCAGGAAAAAACAGACAACCACTACTTAGACAAAAAATCTGAGGTTTATGATTTACTAGACCCTGGCCTAGCCAGCCAAGGAGGCCTGAAAACCCAAGGGCCAGTTCTGTTCTGTAACAACGGAGAAGCTGGAGAAACCATGTGAGTTTCACAGTGCAAAGCACATTTTGAAAACATCCTGGTCTTGTGACCACATCTACACCTTGCAAATGCCTCTCTGACCAAGCTGTGATTCACAAGATCGGTCCTCAGCAAATAACCAGGGGTCACCAACTTGCTGGAACCAGCCCAAAAGGCAAGCTTTATGACAAGAGTGATTTCCTACTCAGCTGTATCCTGCAGGATGTGCTGGGTGTGTTCCGCAGACACACACAGAGGGAAGTCTTTTCATTTCCCCAAGTCCCTGTTATCTGGAATGCACTTTAACCCAATTTCAAGAATATTTCCAGACCACGTTCTATGAAATAGACTTTGTTTTTCTTATAGTCTCTTTTAAAAAATTTTTGTTGAAGTATTGTCAGTGACAGTGTGTCAATTTCTGGTGCACAGCATAATGTCCCAGTCGTGCATATATGCATATATATACATATATTCATTTTCATTAAAGGTTATTACAAGATATTGAATATAGTTCCCTGTGCTATACAGAAGAGATTTGGTTTTTTTAATCTATTTTTATATATAGTAGTTAATAGAAATAGACTTTGTAGTCTACTTACTCACAAATGAACTATGGAGCAGAATGGTGATGAGAACTCAGACTTACTGAAGACACACTGACTGTATGTCAGGCCCTGTGCTGGGCACATCTATATACTTTCTCATTTTCTATTTATAATAACCAGCAGGTAATATCGCTATTCCTGTTTTAGAGGAAACTGGGGTTCAGGGCAGTTAAACAACGCTCTTCAAAAGCTAAACCACTGGGAGTGGGCAGAGCTGAGACTGAGACCAGGCTCTATGGAGCACCAGTGCCAGTGTGATCTCTTTCCATGACCTGTTCCCTCCTGCCTCTGCCCCACTCCAATACTTCTCCTCTCTGCGCTCGATCAGGTGAGAAAGAAGGAAAGTAACAATGACCCAAGCCCACTCAAAGCACTTCCCGAGTGGTGGCTCCTTTAATCCCCAACAAAGCTGTGAAGTGAATATTTTTCTCCCCATTTCAGATAAACCCACAGAGACATGTGCCCAGGATCACACAGTTAGGGACAGGTCAGGAACTTAGTCCGAAAATCATGCCGTCCCCTTCTCCACCCTAAATGTGACAGGGCTTTTTTTACCCCCCTAACTGACAGAAAAGGATTTAACAAAGAGACAGCAATAAGGAAAGCAGCAGCCCTGGAGACCTGAAGTCCCCAAAAATAACTCCGTCCATCTGGCGCTGCTCTGTTCAGATAATGCTTCCCAGATGCATGAGCCTCACGTGATCTCCTGTGATGCTCACCACAGCCTTGGAAGGTAAGTACTCCGGTTCCCGATTCCCAGAGCAGGAATTACAGCCCAGGTGGGCTAAGTAACCTGACCAAGGTCACCTGCTGCTAAGTGCCCGAGGACAGACTCCGACCGTATCTCGGAGGCCAAAGCCCACCATCTTCCCACCTCACAGAGATACTGCCTCTCGGGCCCCGCTTACTGGTTTAAGATAAGCAGCAGAAACCATCATTGGAGAGGAATCCTTATCTTAGGAAAGAAGCTGATGTATCTGGATCCCCCCGGGCAAGAGAAGAGGTGCGATGAAAACCCAAGGGCCAATTCTTTTCTGTAACAGCTGAGAAGCTGAAGAAAGCATTTGAGTTTTATAGTGCAAAGCATATTCTGAAAACAGCCTGGTCTTTCTTGTGACCCCACTGGCAATGATGTCACACGTCTCCTTACATCCACCTCCCCTGCCCGGCACTGAAGAGAAAGACCTTTTCCTGCCACAGTCAACACCTGGAACAACACTGGACTCTTGCAAAACTCAAGCATTATTTGGTCTCTCTGGGACGCCTCGATCAAGGGGATGGACCCACCCACGGAGAGGGTAGGGAACCGTGCAGCTTTCACAGCCAGCTTCCCGATCCGGCCAGCACAAGCTCAAGCTGGCTCTTAAACCCGCTTATTATGCTAACAGATGAACCTGCGTAAGCCATCAAGTCCCACTCACCCTGCTTAGGGAAGAACGAGAGGGTGGCTTTTCCAGCTCCACAGTCTAGAGGATGGGGAGCATCCACATCCCCCCACCAACCCCGGCAAAAAGAACAAGAACAGGGTACCTTTTTATATGAAATAAAAAACCTAAATTAAGAAACCCTAGAACAGCAGAAAAAAAAATGTGACAATGAATATATGTATGTTCGTGTATAACTGAAAAATTGGGCTGTACACTGGAATTTGACACAACACTGTAAACTGACTATAACTCAATAAAAAAAAATGTTAAAAGAAAAAGAAATCCCAGTATGGTGGCAGAAATTTCAGTGCCTGAACTTTTTGTGGTTTGGTCTGGTTTTGTGGAAGTACCATTCATGGAGCACATATATGGCAGATGCAACACAGAATGTTTTGGAAACATTATTCCATTGAATCCTCCTAACAGCCCTGTGGGGAATTATATTAGCAATCCCCATTTATAGATAAGGAAACCAAGCATGTTAAGGAACGTTCAAAAGATCAACAGCTGTCAGAAGCAGGGCTGAGATTTGAGCCCGAGTTCACCTGGACCCAAAGCCTGTGTTTCTGTCCATGATGCTCAACACACCGTCTCCGGCCTGCCACCCACCCAAGCCTTCCACCACAGCATCTTCCTGAGAGGATCCTCAACAACAAAGACTATGTGAATCTGTCGACATGAGCCACTCATTTTTGCCTCTGCTGAATTTCAAAAAAAAACGCAGAAGAAACTGGAGATTTCTTAGCTTCTCAAACATCACCAGAAGTAAGTCAAAGGGATTGAATTTTTAGAAACAACAAATCTGATCTATCTGAATCACAGAATCAAAGGCCTAAAAATGCAATGTTTTTATTTGTTTTACACTCAAGGCTGGACTCCCAGGATTGGTTCTATATTTAAATTATATAATTTAAGCAAGAAAAGATTACCATTAAAATGCTGTCATGTAGCATAAGACTCTAAAAGCATGTCTTTAATTACCTACAGTTTACCTTCTCCTGACTTTCTTAGTAAGATTAAAAATCCAAATCCTCCCAAGCATGGAAGAGACTCTCCTTTTTAACTTCTTGGTCTGGCCACCCCACCCCAGCAAAAGACTGACTGTCTTCTGCTTCCCTTGAAAGATCTGCGGTTTTTTATTCTTTACTAAGGAAGCAGTTTCCTTATGTACATTCAGGAAAGAAAAAAAAAAAAACCCTAGAAGGGCACCTACCTCAGAAAAGAATTCATCCATAAAAGCTGTGTTGTCAATAGCAATCTCGACCTCGTCGGTGTCGTCATCCTGTGTCAGCTGCTTCTGTGAGAGACGAAAAGGAGGAGGGTGAGGCTGAGACCAACAGAAATAACACGCAGAACTGAATGCTCACTAGGGACCAGGCGCTGCGTCTACAGTAAGCATTTTATGTACATTGTCTCCTTTAAAACTCAGGACAGCTCTGGGATGTATCAAACTCTGATGTCACGCTGTCTGAGTTTAAATCCTAGCTCTGCTCTTACTGAGAGTCTGCAGGGGTGGGGGCAGGAAGGGAGCAACGGACAAGGGACTAACCTTGCTGGACCTAGGTTTCCGTGTGTGTAAAGTGCTAATAGTAACACTGCTTATGTCATAGGGTTGTTTATGAAATAAATGAGATAATGAATATAAAACACTTTTGCACAGTGTCTGGCATACTGTAAGAACTCAACAAACATTGTATTTTGGTGGTGGTAGTGGTGGTGGTGGCATTGGTGATGTTAGTATAGCTCATTCCAGTTGGAAAACCTAAAACAGAGAGGTTAAGTAACTTGGTCAAAGTCACACAGCTAAAATATGGAGACAGGCAGATTCAAGCCCGTCTTTTAGATTTGGACCCCATGTTTCTAATCCCTTCCCCGTAATGCTCAGCTTCATGATCTACTCTACTGGGGATCAACATTAGAACAGTTTCCAGCCATGATTCCTCCAAAGCACTAGCTTCAAATCCTCACAGCAGGAATGAAGATTTTCCTGTTTTCAGAAACCACCTATTGCAAAGGAAACAGCACCGTGTGCTGTTCCCCATCAGAGCTCATGTTTATGGGGAGAAGGAAGCTCTCTGCCCAGCCCTCAGCAATGCCTGGGGACCCCAACTTTCTTAATCTCATCCAACTACCTCTGGAAGACCACAGACTGGCTTTATCTAAAGGCAGCGCTGCATTCCCACCCAGCTGCAGGCGCATTCTCCCCAGACGCACTGCACACAGCCCACCCCTAAGCACTGCGGGACAACTGGTAGTTGGGAGTGGAATTGGGAGGGGGGTTAACCCCCAATACCTGCTTCTTCACACCCTTCAGTGGCCTACACCTTCTAAGCCAAGACGTGTCACTCTCAAATGCTCACAACTCCACCGGCAAGGAAAGCCACCAGGGGCCTGTTTCCTTCCCCTGCTACCGTCCCCCGATCTGTTACAGAAGATGGAGTTACTGGGAATTCTCATTGTAATTTGGGACTTTCCAGCCATCCGGGGAGCCTCTTTGGACTGACTCTCCATCATCTCACTCTCTGGTTTATCTGGAACCATCAGCAGCCCCAGCTTAATGGCCACATTCAAAGGAGCTGAATTTGAGGACACTGCTACAGCCCCACAATCATCTTCCTGAGACTCCAGACTGACTGTGTCCTTTTGCCACTGAAAGTCATTCAATGATAGTTCACCTCCCAGGATTAAAAGTCCTCATGCCTGATGGAGCACATGGGGCCCTTTGGACCAGGCACTTAGAATTCCCTACATTTCCTGGACACACCGTTCCTTCATATCGCTGAACTGTCACACAAGAACCTCTTCCTGAAATGCGTCTGTCCAGCTGGCAAAATTTCATTGAGCCCTTAACACTTAATCGCGAACAAACTTCTCTGTCTACCTGACCCACGCAAAATTTAAAACCTCCCTAAGCTCCCAAAGCATTTTGTGCAAACCTTCCACGGCATTCATCCCAGCCTAGTACTCATCACCCCTTCACTTCGCCATCCTTCCCCACTGACCACACGCCTGGAGGCTCGACATTGCCTTGTGTCATCCACTGGAGTAGATGCCGGGAGTGCGTGCCTGCCCAGAACACCTTCCCCACGTGACTCTGGGAAGGTTATCAGTCACCACTCGAGCTCCCTGAGGATCTGAACCATGACACGAACAGAGCCAAGTCAGCCTTTGGCAGTGCCCAGCAGAGATACCTGCGAGGTTCCCAGGGCTGTCCTCATTTCTGTTGGCTTAGGGCAAGTTCCATGGCTATTTCCCAGTAGTCTTCCAATGAGCCCAACAGTATTCTTGTAATTTTTTTTTAATTTGTTTATCCAGAATCGGCTTCTGTCTCTTGCAATGAAAATCACTTGTATTTGCCATTAATCGACTTATTCCGCATGTATACTGAGCACTTACCATACACTGTATGTAGAAGAGAAACTGAGTCAACTTTAGCGGAATAAATAACAAGCTCCCACAGAGACCAGCAGCCTGGATCCACCCCTCCCCCCAGCAGTTGCTAAAGTCTGAGACAAAGTGCTCGCTGCCGTCAATCCTGAGGCCTCTCAGCAGTCTCCAGAGAGCTCCATCTCCCAGGAAGGAGCTCTGTGATCCCTGCTGGGAAATAGGAGCCCGGGCTTTCCCCCAGAAGGTGAGCTACCGAGCACCTGTTAAGTTTCCTCTCTTTGGAGGTCTTGTAGAGACCCCCACTGAGGGTGACACCCTATGTGTGCATGTGTCCACATAACACCCCCACACACGGACACACACGCGTGTGTCAGCTCAGTTTTCTTCAAATAGGCACACATGCAAAGGAAGTGGGATGAGGCCGCCATAATGGGAGGGGCTGAGGAACGTCTCCGGGAGCTGGAAACGACTGTGTCCTGGAGCGTGGGAAGCAGGCACCAAGCCCTCCGTCGTGACATGCACTTCGAGACCCATGGCATTTGTACAGGGGCTCCCCAAGTCCGAGACGGCCACCTCTTAGCTTTGCACAGACTCTAGCAGGACAGCCTGGTCCACCTCCAGTGAGAGGATGTATGAACTCGGAAAAAAGAAGTCTTGATTGACTCACAAGCAAGGTCCAAAACCTTTTATTACCAATTAAGGGCTGTGAGACCTCCGTCAAGTCCCTTACTGCTCAGAGGTTTTCACTATAAATGGTAACATCACCACATACCTTGTGACTTTTACGAGGATTAGATGAGCTCACACGAGAAAAGCGTCCAGCACACAAGGGCACACACCAGTGCCTAGTAAGTGTCAGCTTCCCCATCACCTCGTCATAAGATGTGCTATCTCAAAATATGAGTTCTTGGAGGGGTGGGTACAGCTCAGTGGTACAGCACATGCTTAGCATGCATGAGGTCCTGGGTTCAATCCCCAGTACCTCCATTTAAAACAATTTTTTTAATTAAATAAATTTTTAAATAAATAAAAGTGTGAGTTCTCCTCTGCAGGAAGCACTTATGCAAAGGCTGAGTCAAGAAGATCAATCCTGCAGCATCATGATGACCGGGATTTCGTAGCTGGCTCCATCTCACGCTAGTCACTGAGCCTTAAACGTTCGGTTCAACATCTCTGAGCCTCACTCTCCTTATCTATAAAATAGGGACATTTTTCCACCAGGCTTTTGTGAGGGTTAAGTAAGATAATAGCTTTAAGTTCCTTACACAATGAATAGCACATGGTAACGTCTCAATACAACAACCATATATCAGATCTAGCGAAGTCATCTTC